GAACAGGAGAAAGCTAGAATATCTGGGTTCCAGTTTTTCTTAATTTCCTTGTTTTATTGAGGGTGAAAAGGGGGCGCTCTTGGGCAGGTCACTTTTTGTTAAAAAATTTCATGGTCCACAGACAACTAGGTCGAAGTTCAAATTGTATATGGTTTGTGCATGAATTTTCCTAGATAGACGTGTTAGATATTCTTTTGTTTGTAGTTTGAAGTTTCAGATGAATGATTCCATGCATGTAACAAGAAGCGGCTCTTATGTTCTTTTCTGCCTTTTAATGAATTTTTTTACATATCAATTTCATCGCCATGTTCTCTTCTCTTGCCTCCTCCTTGAATTAAACCTTAATTGCTTATTAAATGGATAATGGAGTTTTGGAATTAGCAGCAGCTAATTGTGATTTAGAATTTGAGTAATGTGGCAGGGTAAAATTGAGATATTGTCTTGTGATCTGAGATTAAAATTTGGTGAAATTTTCAGCGGCTCTAGCATTTACTTGTTGAAATTCTATATGCTTGGGGAATCTATTTCCAATCCCAATACTCATAATTAAAGCTGCAACGTTATCAACATGTGAATTAATCGAAGAATGAAATAACATCAAATGGTACAAATGGATGGCTTTTCACCAACTTCCTTCTCCCTAAGTTTAAACGGACATTCATGAGGTTAGAGCACTTTGAGCTTTCAGTCTTTCACCTTTTTGGAAATGGTTGTGTGCTGCGAAAGCTAAGTTTGCATAAATGGCCACACTCATATTCATTGAGTGGAAGTAGAACAACGCCATAAGTGCCTGTCCGTGTATTGACTAGAGACTCTAGTTTCTCAGTGGACGGTAGCTTCTTGGATCACACACCAAGTTTTCTTGGATCACTCATTGGTATTATTGCTATGCTGCTATCACCTCTTTCAACTAACATCCTTCTTTCATTTTTCTCTCTCCCTATAAACTTAAGGATTAGGATCTAGTTTAATGAAAAAGTGTCTTGATTTGCAGATTTTTGGTTTTATGTTCGAACCCTCATGACAACTTGGTTGTGTGTGGGAAACCCCCGCCCCCTTGTAGTTTAGACTATCGCTTGTATTTATTTATTTTTTAAAAACTAAAGGATTTTGCTAAGGACAATAGTATGGTGACTTTCAACCTTTGACACAATGAGACCCACATTTACATCAATGGCCATGGACTAAAACCACATGCTAAAAGAACCTTGGGATGATGAATAAGTTAATACTATTGTTATTCTTCTTGAGTACTAAGTGGGCAATAATTTTGGGATCGTATCATTAAGTATGATGTATTCTTTATTCAACTTTTTGGAAGCCTGGAGCTGGTGGACTATAAGTTTTATAATACGTATTTTATTTAATGGCAAACTAAACAATGAAGGAGATACAAGGTTTGGTGCAGAGTCCTAGCTAATTGAGGACATGAAATGATGGGGATTATTTGCCAAACCCCACCATTTTATATGTAGGCTGGAACATCAGCTTTCCAGGTGCAAAGTTGCTGTCAGTTTAAGAGGTCTGGGTTCTGTTTTTATAAGCATTTGCGTCATGAGGCTTGACCTCCACTACTCCAATAGGGAGTTTATTAGTTTAGGCATGCCTAATTCATGTGGTGAAATCTGATTTAGTACCAAAAAGTAATTTAATATTATCAGCGGCATCATCCAGATGACATGACCACAATTAGTTTATCAACACTAGATTCATTTACAGAGAGAGAAGCAAGGTGAATATCTTGTTGCAATTACAGAAGTACGTGAGAGATTTTGAGGTAAACATCCTAAAAACTCCCGTCAGGAGAATGCAAAATATTCCCTAATTACAATGAGCTTATTTGGTATTTCACCCCATAAAATCTGATTTATTAATGAAAATTCTATAAACTCCCAAATGCTTTCTGAAGAGCATCCAAGCAGAGGCTCCAAGATCAACCCCAACCCAATTCTCTGTACATGACACTATCCTTTGCTGTATTAACTTAAGACCACAGCATAAAGTAGCCCCTAATTACTGCTTGTATAAATTCTCAATGGCGCATTGCATAAGTTGAAAAAGAAAAAAAACCATGTATTTGGCATGACAAGATCATGTGCTTCTCAGTGGCTCATCTAACAGTTGTAAACATTCATGCGGATTTGAGTAGAAATAATCTTCTTCCTTTGGTTTATCTGCAATAGAAACTCGTTTCTTCGGGCTCCCCATCCGATCAGCATGAGCTTCCTTCACAATAGAAGAGAACTCATCCCAGCTCAATGATCCACTACTGAATTGTTCTATTGAACCAATCAGAAGTTTTCTGTCCAATAAAACAGTCTTTTTGAAACCTAAGAATCTGAAATATGAAGAAGCCAAGGAGAAACATTATCTCAGATCAAAATAATTCTACGACCAAGCAAGGGGCAATTAACAACAAACATCTTATCTGGCTAGAACGCTAAAATACCAAAAGAATATTACCTCCGATGGCCTTCAACAACTTTAGCCATATTTCCATCGTATGTAGGAATAAATATATCACTCTCTAGGGAGACAAGATAGTCCAATGCTGCCCTTTGAGAAGAGTGGTTTGGGAAAAGCCTCAAGTCCGAAGGCTCCAGCAGAGTCTCTTTTCTGACCTGTTCCATAAAGTTCAAGCAAATTGTAATGGAAAAGCCCTATGATGTATAATTGTTGGAAAAGTTGCTTCTTTGTCGTTCTACTTACCAAGTTAGGAAAAGCAGATTTCAAACTTTCCATCCTTCTGTTTCCACCATATATTTCTCCAGCAGCAATATAAATTTGGACATTGTGATCAATACCAAGTGCAACCAAAACTAGAGCAGTTTCCTCTGGTGTTAGCGGGCACAAACCTTCTAGCCTTTTCATTTCCGAATTTATGTCTTTTATCTTCCACAAGGGGTTAGCATATCTAACAATGTGTAACATCCCATAATTAAAAGAGGTTGATAAGCAAAACAACTAAAGATGCACAAAATAACAAAACTAAAAGAGGACCTACCTCATTCTTGTGAGTTCTTCTTCCTCATCATTGTTGCAACCATGACTACAGCCAGAGAATGCCAACATATCCATTTCATATCTGAGATGAAGGGCCAGAAAAGGGCCTTTTTCTCTCAAAATTCTGACAAGCTTTCTGCCAATTTCCTCTATCTGGGAAGTGAATCTCAGAGCATGGAAATTAACTCGGCAGCGCAACTTCTGAACCTCAAGAGGGAGCCCATTATTAGCTAACCGAGCATCGGTTTTATTCAAATGTACTACTTTATACTTCTGCACCAGAGGTAGGATCTGTTGGCAAACACCTCCAGAATTAGTGAGAATGGTCATAAACCGAAAAAGAAAAAAGATGATGCTCAAATACTTGTCTTTTGAACCAACCTGATGAAAGTAGTAGGAAATGTTGGACCAACTAATAGGTGGCAACGAGTATACAGCTCTTTTCCTGACCCGTGGCGGCAGTTCCTTTAATATCCGAACTTCATCTCTCAAGGATGCAATGAAATGATCAACATCAAAGATGTCTTGAAACTCACTGCCACAATAAGGGGAAAGCTTAGAACCTAGATGTTCCTTATTCTCTCATTAGGGGCCTTTACAATGAGAACATCCTTTCCTTATAATTTTAAGGGAAAACTAATTAACCTACCTTGCCGCCCAAAAAGAGTTTTTATCCAGCTCTGGAACAATAAGAGTCACATTTAAGTATCTGGCAATAGCAACCATATCACAGATCTGCAGCAAAGTGAGAAGTGAGAAAAATAACATGGTGGTGAAAACAGAATAGCAATAAAACATCCATCTAAGATAAGAATGTTCATAATTGTGAGGAAGGAGCTAGCAACTCACGGCGGCTCGCATTTGATTCAGTCCTCCATTGCAAGAAACCATGAGATAACCATTATTCTTGTAAACCCCTGAAATAAATAAAAGTAGTTCAGAACTAACAAACAACATTCCAATTCCGAACTTTTCATTGAAAGAGAGTATCTATAATGGAATAAACCAATTACCAATGAGCCAAACAAATTAAAATCCACATGAACAACGGAAATACATAAAAGAGGTCAGCATCTTTAAGAAGATTATCATTCTACATCAACTGTTTGGAATGATATTAAAGTATGATCATTACTTCGGTTGCCTGAAACATGTGTTCTCTAAGTAGTAAATTACACACAAAAGCGATCAAGATTTTATTAACAAGCTCAAAACTTACTCTTTGGTGGGAGAGAAATTGGGATTGGAAGCTTAGCCAATTCAGCATGCGCAGGCAACTCTAATTGAGGGCAGGGAGGGCAAACCTTGAACAAACTTGGCCCCCTTATCAACCATATTCCAACCAGCTGAACTGCAGAAGCCCACACCAAAGCTGTAACAATCGCCCGAATGATAAACAACCATGCGTTCGTCTTCAATATCGAACTCTTCAATTTTTTAACTCTACCCAAGAACTTAAATCCCATCTTCCCCTCTGATCTATAATCACATCTCTCAAAGTCCTCTGCTTTGCACATTGTAATTTGTAACAGATCAAAACACCTTCATCAACTACAGACCATCAGAAAACTGAACTCTTCAAACACCAGACTTACTGCAATTCAACACAATCTTTGATAGATAAAAGGTGATGGTGACGCTCCAATGCTATCTATGCACAAGACAAGGTGGTCCTCCAAGAGTTAATAACATACTCGAAACGCCTCGAAATAACAAAAAGATTTAAACTTTCTTTGATTCTGACAAAGTTGGCACTAAAATAATCAATAGACCAACTCTCAGATATTTACTTCGAACCACCCAAAACTTGTCACCTATGACCCTCCACCAATACTCATCAAAACCCAGAAAGCAAAAATAGAAAATTTCCAACTAAAGCTTTCCAAAGATTTCGAAGAATGCAACTTTACGCTTAATCTTTCCAAACCCAATAATCACTTTGAGTTGCTCTCAATTTGCCGGTAAGATTCCGGCCAATAATCCGGCGAGAGTCACCGGAAAACTTGTAGAATGTGGTTGGAGAAAGCAGAGAAGCACAGAGCAGATGAGGAAAATAGCGTATAGTTTCAATGAGAAACAGAAACACAAAAAAGTCTGCAATCAAGGGTCAATTCAAGTGACCGCATTTATAGCAAGCCTGGCCAAACTAGGATTTCACACCCTATAGAATTAGAACTCTGTTCACCGTCTCCCATTATATTTTGTTTTCATTTACATAATTAAACTTTTATAAACACTGATAGCACTATCGTTTCTGCTTTAAACACCAGAATACATACATACATGGTAGTAATGGATATAGATGAACACAAATACAACTCACCCAAAAATTTTATATTAGTTTTTTTCTCTTTGATATTAGATTATTGTTTGTTGGGAGGAAGTGGATTTGCAACCAAAATCTAATTACAAAATTTACAAGTCAGCAGTCATGAGAGATGATAAATTGTAGTGGTATAGATAGACCACCATACTTTATTTAGTAATTATTTTCGCACCAAAGTTGACACTGCAGTTGTTTTTGCCGTATAACTAAAGTAATTGTTTTGTTTTGTTTTTGTCAATTATGTTTTGACTCATATAAAAATAATAATAAAAGAAAAAAAAAACCGTCATTCTAGGTAATCTTCCATTGTGGTAAAATGGAGGTATTGAAGTTATACTTGAAAGATTGATTATTTTACCTAACTACTTCAACTTTTTCATTCACATTGGTCATTCAAATGTGTATAATGTGTTGAATAAGAAAACTTAAATGTATACCATATGAGATCATGGAAGCTTATTCAATATACAATCATTGTGAGCAAGAGTACACATTTTTAACCATCCGAATGCTACAAGCTATGAGGTTGTCACTTCTTATAAAATTTGTGCCAAAAAGAGTCATGCTAGGTTACCATTTGGATAAAAGGTACAGCAAATCTTGATTTGGGGCCTTTTTGTTTGCTCATGTCGTTGTGGTAATGTTATAGGTAGATAGAATCTAACAATTCTTTACAGCTGACTCTGGTGTGAAATTAAAAAGAAAAAAACAGAGTTTGCATTGCTATTTTATTGCTCAGCATTCAATCAGTGACGGGCAACTTGCAACTTTCTTTTAGTGATTGGCGTGGGCAGAGAGTCCTACTGATGTCCTCTCACCACATGTGGACATTATACCAGTAGAGCAATTTTCTCTTTTATATGAGATGGAGATACCAATTATTCTAAAATGAATAAAATACCAACAAATAAATTAAAGAAAACAGAGCATCTGACACTTTTGGCCGTGTCAAAGCAAAGTCATGGTCTGTTTTTTCTTTTTGTTTGGAGAAAGATATGTAGTTTTGGAGTTAGCAATTGTGACAAATCCCCCGTGATTGATTGTATCTGTCATTTGACAGAGCAATTTGCGTCCTGCATGAATATCACTTGGTTTTGGTCTCTCATATAAGAAAATGCAATAAATAACATGGTGTTCATCAGAAGCAGCAGCATCTTTTAGCCAAAAGTGAAATAATCCTGCAACTGTTTTCTTCATATTTGCTGTTGAGCGGTGCCCTCATCTGAGTCTTGGGCAAACAATAAACTTCACAATCAAATCAAGCATATAAAATTTTTTTTTTTTTTTTTTTTTTTGGGTGTGTGTGTCCACATGATGTATTAATAGTCACGGAGTGAAAGCTATAATATTATAATTGCTCATCATCACAATGATTGGGTGAAATAGTCAGTAGAGCAATGATGGGGTTATTATTATAATATGAGGGTAGTTGTGGTCTTTTTAGTTCTATCTTCATCAAAGACATAGATAAGTAAATGGGGCTGATTTTTCCACTCTTATTTTCTTCACACACACTTCTTTTTGCTTTTTAATACTTTTAAATTAATTTTGTTCTTTTTAGATCTTTCTCTTTCATATTATACTCTTATCCTACATTAATTTCTTTTTATTTCACTTTTATATTATTTCTTTTTCTTTATACTTAATTTTTCAACTTGCATTCTATTTTCTTTTTGTTTATATTTTTATGTTATTTATTTTTCTTTATGCCGTTCAATGAACATGATAATATATATTTTTATTTTTTTAGAAAACCCATAATGCTTAATGAAGTTAATAAAAAGTTGAATTAAACATTAGAAAAAAGAAAAGAAGGGCATAGTCGGGGAGGGGACGAGCTGCACAGCGATTGTAGAAGTGGGAACAATTCAACAACCCTGTCAATCTATATCCCTAGCCATTTTCCCCACTGACACCCAAAGGCCCCCAACTCTCCAAGCCACACTTACCTCCCCAACTCCAATCCACCCATGTCTAATATATATATAATAAAAGCCCATGTAGCCTTACCTTTACGCAATGGTCCTTCCCACTTCTCCACTCGCTGAGTAGCTCCTTCCCTTCCCGACTAGACTATGCCCTTCTTTTTATTTTCTTTTGAAGTTTTTTTAAATTATTTTTTCTAATGATATATTTTAGTTTAATTGAACTTTTAATGTATTTTAAAATTAATTCAACTTTTTATTAACTTCAAAAAGCTATATAGGTTTTCAAAATGAAATGAAAAAAGATTATCATGTTCATTTAGCGGCAACTTTAACGGAACAAACCAAATTGATTAATAGTCTTAAACACATGGATTAAAATGGCCAAATTGAAAACATATGGATTAAATTAACCAACATGATAAAACACATGGACTATTTTAACATTAAAGCCAAAAAAAAAATATAAAAGTGAAGTAAAAAAGAAATTAATGTATGACAATGTTAGAATAGGAAAGAGAACAAAAAAGAAAAAGAGTAATCAACAAATATTAAAAAGCAAAAAAGAGTGTAAATTGAGAAAATCAGCTCCCAAGTAAAACTGTAAAAGGGCAGCTCAGTACATTAATTACCACAATGTTTATGTCATTCATGGAGAATTTAGCATATGCCCAAAATCCACTGATGTCAAGTATGAAGATGGCCTTCATTATTTTGGTGCATTATTTGTGCACTGAGAGAGTGGAATTACTCTGTGTGTTTATGGACACGAGTTTCTACTCTCCAATGATAAGTGATAGTCAGATGGTCCAGGCAAATTGACTTAGGATCTGGTTGTTGATCAGTAAATGATCTTTTGCGGGGCCTCTCAGCTGTCAAAGAAAATGGGCCTCATAGTTTTTTTTGCATTAATTCTTACACCTATCATCTTCGCTATAATAAATGTTTCTTTGGGCGAATGGAGGTTAGATCAGTTGGTGAACTCATCGCGTCTGAATTCGAACAATTTTTTTTCGCACATTAGAATAGTTTAGACTATCGCTCTTATCAAAAGATAAATATTAATTCAGAGTAATTATAATTTATAACAAGTGAGGGGACTAGACCAATTTGGTAGCAAATATTGAAGTGTACAACATTAAATTGGATTAGGCTGTATTGTATGTGTGGAATTTTTATGAGTCTTAGCAAAAATAGCATTTTGGAGTATTGGGGTTCTATGGTATGGGCTTTGATTTTTTGGGCTTACTCATGTTAGGTCAGAAACATGAAGCCCAAATTCTAAAAGGCCAAGTCCAATTTTAAATCTGAGTTCTAGGCCCAATTTCTTTCTTCCCAAATTAGGGTTTAGCAGCTACCTTTTTCCTCATCCTAGGGTTTTAGCACCTCTCTCTGTCTCTCTCTGTCTCTCTCTCTCTGCGGAAAAACAACCATGAGGAAGCTGAAGTTTCACGAGAAGAAGCTGTTGAAGAAAGTGAACTTCTTGGATTGGAAGAGAGAAGGAGGTCACAGAGAAGCCCAGGTTCTGCAACGTTACCATGTCACCGGTCGCGACGATTATAAAAAGTATATAATATTTGTATTTTTTTAATTTAATGTCATTTTTATGGTGTTATTGGTCGCTCAATCTTAGTTTTTTTTTTCCCCGATTGAAAATTGGAAAATAGATATTCGGGTTTATGCCGGATGGTGCAGAAGCTGGTGAACATATTGAAGCAGATGAACCCAAACGACCCTTTTCGGATTGAAATGACCGATATGTTATTGGAAAAGCTGTGAGTTATTTATTTATTTACGTGCTACAGAAATTGTTCTGTTAGGGAGTATACTGCAAATTTTGTTTTTGTTTTTTGATGCTGAATAAACTTGAATTGGTATGTTCACTTAGAAGTATTAATCTTTCAAAGCTGCGTAGTGAAAACCCATAACAAGTTATCAGCTTTTTGTTAATTAGCTCTTAAAGTGTGTTCTGCTGGACATCATGTGTTATGTGTAGGTGATAGTAGTGTTGAAATGAGAAATTTGAAGCAGTCAAATGTATTTCATTGCTGTTTGATATAAAGAGAGAAGTCTTTGGGATTATTCTCGTGTAATTTGTTGCGGAACTGAAATCAAGAGAATAATCCCAAAGATGGCTTGACTTTTGCACGATCCAGATTCGATAGATTTATCTTTGTTTAGATGCATGGTACAAGAATACTGCCGCGGTAATGGTAGATCTAGTATCATCTGTGGTTTTTAAAGTGTGATTCATAGTTAAAGGGTTTACAATGATGACAGGTACAATATCGGTGTGATACCATCCAGACAAAGCCTGGCATTGTGTGATCATTTATCTGTGTCATCCTTTTGCAGGTAATTTTCAATTACTCCATTACAGGACTTGCTTGTCATACATTGAAGGGAAAATGTGAGAGTGAATTCTTATAAACTATTGACAAAAAGTTTGCAACAAATTAAAAAAGAGGTTCTCTTTGCAATTGCTATTGGCACTACCTGGGGGGTAATACTAATTTGTTTGATTAGTATGAAAATCCTTACATCTTTCTCGTGAGTCATGATGGCTTACCACACACAAGGAGGAACAAGAACTCGCTTCCAAATTTTTGCATGCACCTCAACTCTCTTCCAAATTTTTGCATGCACCTCTCTTGTTACTTTACTGACGATGTCTATGTTTATAGACGTAGGCTTTCAACTGTGGTGGTCCGATTGAAGTTTGCTGAGCACCTGAAGGAGGCTGTCACATACATTGAGCAAGGGCACCTCCGAGTTGGTCCAGAGACTGTTACTGACCCAGCATTCCTAGTGACAAGGAATATGGAAGACTTCGTTACATGGGTGGATTCATCAAAGATTAGGAGAAAGGTTCTGGAGTACAATGACAAGTTGG